ATGGACGGCACGCGGGCTCTGACCTGTTGAACTTTCATCACGGGCGGTGGGCACCGGCTTGATGATTGTTCGGCCAACTGGCTCTCCGGTGTTGGCGTAGGATGAGGCGGTGGCCTGCCCGTTACTCAAGTGTCGACTTGCTTTAGCCAAATTGAATCTCAGCATTGAATATGGGTTGGGCAAATCATTGCACTTGTTTATGATTGGGGGCTCCGTTAACCATGACTCAAGCAGTTCTCGGCTCACCCGATTGTCACCTCTTGCGAGAATTTCGGCCTCATCAAACTGGAACGTGTGGCCGGGTCTCGTCGAATGAGCCGCAACTTGAGAATTGGCTAATGCTCATGTCTCTGATGATGAATCCGCGACGGATGTCGAAACGTCAGGCGAATAAGCATATTGCCCCAGAGAGCGAGTCTTCTTCTCAATTGCTTCCTGGGACACGCATGTTCGCTTGTATTGGCAAGCCACGAGAAGTTTGTCTTACCAATTTAGGCCGGGGAGGGGGGTATTGACACTCTTCGATGGACGTTCACTAAGCGCTAATGGAACTTATCTGTCAGAAATAGTCATTCAAGTCTTCCTTGTCTTTAATGGTATTCCTTCATTGCAGTAAGTATCCCCGTCACAGTTCCGCTGCCTACTCGGCTATCGGTCGAGTTACTAAGCCCAATGGCACCAGTCGGACCGATAAAGCGACCAGAGATAGATATTGATTCGGGAATTTTAATTTAAAAAAAAAACAGCTATGCGCTCACACATAATCACAGCGCAAAGGAATTGTTGGAAAGGATTGAAAGTAAGCAGTCTTATCTAGGACGACAAGAAATCTAGAAGACGGGGAGCGCGTGATGAAAGGGGTTGGCTGCTTTTGATTATATGCGGAAGGGGTATCAGGCGTCCAAATCAGATATACAAGCATAACTGATCCATTGAATCTTGTCAGAAAAGCTTAAACCGACCTTCTTCTCACCTACATGGGGGCTTAATGTAATGTCTTTCTACTAGAAGACAGATTAGGCACTATGGACAGTTCATCTGACTCACTGATGAAAAGCTCAGCGGCCTCGGTGGGATTCCAACCACTGCGAGCAAGGGAAAAGCTATAGTACAGCCAACACTTTAGCAAACTGAGCTATGAGACTAGAACGTTAGCTGTACTAAGACCTTCCTCTTGTTGGTGTTGGTTCGAATCCCATCGAGGCCGGCGAACCTTTCACAAGCGCGTCAAATGCATTATTGAAATCTGCCAAAAAACCTACTGGCAATATACATTTACTGAATGTTACCAATAACGGTTGTATGGAGCAGCAACTTCAACCATTTAGGGCTAAAAGCTGTTACC